TACAGTATGCAACAGTTTGGTATCGGAGCGGACCTCTCATTCAGAGGACCCGCTCAATCAAGTAGCCAGCTTGCTTGATCTATTGATTACTCATCAGTAAATCAAGAAGGACTTCGTCAAATCTCTGAATTTTTTTTTTCTCATAACAACTATCTGAAAATTTCTGATATTCGCATTTCGTTTTACCTGAAAATTTCTGATATTGGTATTTCATTTTCACGTAACAAATATCTGAAAATTTCTGATAAATCGCATTTCGTTTTGTCTGAAAATTCGTGATAGTAGCATTTCGTTTCTCTGATATTTCGCATACATAGCTGAAATCTTCTGTTGTTAGTATTTCATTTTCTAGGCATATTGGGATAACGATAGAAGTGGTCATATTCTAGGAAACAGGAATTATTCTTTTCTGAAAATCAAATTTACATTCTATCTCGCAAATTTTTTTTGAAAACCGAAATCTTGCGAAGCCTACCAACATTTCGTTAGGCATATTCGGAGATTGCCATATTCTCAGAAACTGGATTTTGTTGTTTTCTGAAAATCGCATCTTTACTCCGTTTCGCAAATTTTTTTTTTCAAGATCGCATTTTGTGAAAGCCGAAACTTTGCGGAACCTATCCTAGATCTCGTTCACAGTACTCTTCTGACATGTCCCACTCATTATAGATCGACGGATATATTAAAAAAAGAAAAAAAAGGAAGTAGTCCTCTTTTATCTTTTTTATTTATTTTATCTGTTGATTAGGGCCAGGAGGAAAGTATTGTTGGGTTGGTTCCCTACCTACGTTTTCCCTCCCCACCCACCCTTTGCATGCATTTTCGGGTTGGTACAGTGCCACGTCAGCAGTGCCACGTCAGCAACAGTGCCACGTTAGCAGTGACGTCAGCAGTGCCACGTTAGCAGTGCCATGTCAGCAGTGCCAAGTCAACAACAGTGCCACGTCAGCAATGCCACGTCAGCAGTACCACGTCACAGTCCCACGTCAGCAGTGCCCCGCCACCATGACGGGCCCAGCTCTGGGCATGCCAGGCCAACTGGCCAACGAGTCTATTGCCGGCTACAAACAGCGGTTCCAGACTCTGCTCTCACTAATTGAGGCTGAGGAACAGCGCCAGCTGGCGGCCGAGGTTGCCCGCCTACAGGCTGAAGCAGCTGCAACAGCTGAGAAGCAGCGGCTACAGGCCGAAGCAGATGCAGATACCCAGGCACGCCGCAAGGAGGCCCAGGATCTGCTGCAGCGGCATGAAGCCGCCAGCATCGAAAGACTCAAGTACTGGCACTTTCAACCGTCCAACGGCGACGACGCGACACCGGAGGAGCAGCACAAGGAGTTCCTCTCCAAACTCGTGGCACGGTTGTTATATGCTTGCAACTATCAACAGTCCGCGTTAGAGAGACAGAACCAGGAACTGCACTAACAGTACCAGGATCTGAAGAAACAGCACCAGGAGTTGGCAAACCTCCGCCGGACAGTGCAGAGCCACGAGGATGCTATACGGGCACTCAATTCCCGTGTACTGGACTTGGAGCAAGCTGTACCAGGACCAGATGCTGGTGTCTCCAGCAGTGCTCCCTCTAACCGCCAACTGGATGAACGCGTCGACCACGTCGTCGCAATGCTCGGCGACATCAGCATCTTCGCTGAGCCGACCACCATCAGCAATCAGCTGGATACCTTGAAGACCGAGGTCCAGCAACTGCAGTTGCCTAACAAGAATGGCAACAACACACAACATTACAAGATGCCAACTTTTCAAATTGAGAAGCTCGATGACTACACGCATCAGGACCCGGTCCTCTGGTGGGAAGGTTTCACGACGCAACTTCGGATTCTGCAAGTCGCCAAGCACGCGTACGCCGACGCCCTGTTTCTTAACTCAAAGGGCGGATGCGAGATCTGGTTAAGCCACCTGGCATCCACCCACGACGTCGACGTCGCAGATCTGAAAGACAAGATCTCATGGGAAGAGTTAACACGGCTATGGAAGAAGCGGTTCATCACCTGCACTCGCCATCAATCGTCTCTTCGCCATGACGCAAGGCAACAGAGCAACACGTGACTGGCTCACGGAATGGCAGAAGATCGCGGCATTACCCGATCTGGACTTACCATTTCCGCATCTACGCCGCGAGTTCTATAACAGGTCATGTGTTGCATTGAGCCTCGCACTGGGTGATCGTGAGCAGTATGCAACCTTCGCTGAGATCATTGACAAGGCAAGGGAGATCATCAAGACAAATAGGGCGGCTGCACACGAGAGGTCAGCGTGGCAGCCAACCTATGTGGAGAAGGTAAAGACTGGTCCGCGGCAGCGGCAGTTCGCTGCAGTCCAATCGGACAACACTGTGGAAGACTCGGCAGCCACCCAAGCGTCACGTGAGGGAGATCAGGTGGTTGCTGTCCAGACGCGAAGCAACAACAAGCCCCGAGTGAACGGGAAGGCGAAATCAGCATCGCAGGCCGGAAACGGACAGCCAACACCATGGGTCAAGTTCAACTTGACCGAGGCCGAGTACAAGTACTGCGGCCGTCACGGCTGTTGTTACTGGTGCAACAGCACCAAGCACAAGACCTCCCTTTGCCAGGATCAGGCCAAGGAGGATGTGCGGCCTCGTCTTAACTCGGGAAACTGAGTTTCGCGGGAGGTGAGGCGACTCCACCTCCCACTCCGCCAGATTCGACTGCCTTGCTAGCGGCCTCCTACACATCTGGTGAGGATGCGAATGTCGTAAGTTCTCCGTACGCTTACGAGGACTATGTCGTCCACTTGGTCCCACCGCTGGACCAACCGCTCCACGTGCAACAATCTACCGCATGCACTGTTTCATCACCATCGACAACCGATTCGGCAGCTTCGCCGCCATCTACCGCCGGGGATTCAACGTCATGGTCAAGACTTGAGGAGCTCGACCCGTTGACATTTGCGGACTTCCAATGGATGCCCCTTCCCTGGTCCGGTCGATTGCCGAAACCGCATTGCAACGTGCGATGGGGGTGTGTTTTCTCCACGCCCTCCCGCCCCATGACGCTTTATCGACGGACTCTTCTTCAGATCCACGCATCACTGAGTTTCTCGACGCCTACGGCGACGTGTTCGAAGGCCCGCACAGAGTAGTACCGGATCGGCCGATCCGCCACGAGATCATCCTCGAGGACGGGGCCGTACCTCTGCGCGGTTGCATCTACCGAATGAGCGAGGAAGAGTTAAGTGTGCTTCAGGCACAACTCGACGACCTTCGGGAGAAAGGCTGGATTCGGCCTAGCTCATTGCCATACGGTGCTCCTGTTCTCTTCGTCCGAAAGAAGAACAAGGATTTGCGGTTGTGCATCGATTATCGCAAGCTCAACGCGCAGACGATCAGAAACGTCGGCCCTCTCCCACACATCGACGACCTTCTCGAATGACTGGGCGGCGCCAAGTTCTTCTCCAAGCTTGATCTCAAGTCGGGATATCACCAACTCGAGATTCGGCAGGAGGATTGCTACAAGACCGCATTTAAGACGTGACATGGGCATTTCGAATGGCTGGTTATGCCATTTGGCCTTACGAATGCCCCCGCCACTTTCCAAGCGGCTATGACAACGGAGTTCCGACACATGCTGGATCGATACGTACTTATCTACCTCGACGACATCCTGGTGTACAACCGGAGTTTGGACGAGCATGT